CAACGCGGTTGATGTAGTCGTACGTCTTCATGGCCCGACCGATGAAGCACCAAAACTACGGCACCTCCGAGTTCTAGCACACGTTCAGCTCGATGACGATCCCCGGACTCCGATCCAGCAAAGTGTCGGGAAAGAGTTCCGTCAGCACGACGGCGTGGTGATGATCTTGATGTTCTACCGTCGCAGGGCTTCGCCTAAGCACCGTTACAATATTATCGAGGATTATGGTGGAGGGGGGCACCGCACACGGCTAAGAGAACGATCATGAAGATCAACTTCTGTGTCTAGAGGTGCCCCCCTGCCCCCGTATATAAAGGAGCAAGGGGGAGGGGCGGCCGGCCAGGAGGAGGCGCGTCAGGGAGGAGTCCTACTCCTACCGGGAGTAGGACTCCCTCCTTTTCCTTGTCCAACTAGGAGAGGGGGAAGGAAGGGAGAGAGGAGAGGAAGGAAAGGGGGGGCGCCGCCCCCATCCTTGTCCAATTCGGACTAGAGGGGGAGGGGGCGCGCGGCCTGCCCTGGCCGCCCCTCCTCTTCTCCACTTTGGGCCCATGAGGCCCATTAACCCTTGGGGGGGGGGGGTTCCGATAACCCCCTGGTACTCCGGTTTTATCCGAAACTTCTCTGGAACACTTCCGGTATCCGAATATAGCCGTCCAATATATCAATCTTTATGTCTCGACCATTTCGAGACTCCTCGTCATGTCCGTGATCACATCCGGGACTCCAAACAATCTTTGATACATAAAAAATATATAAACTCATAATGAAACTGTCATCGTAACGTTAAGCGTGCGGACCCTACGGGTTCGAGAACAATGTAGACATGACCGAGACACGTCTCCAGTCAATAACCAATAGCGGAACCTGGATGCTCATATTGGCTCCTACATATTCTACGAAGATCTTTATCGGTCAGACCGCATAACAACATACGTTGTTCCCTTTGTCATCGGTATGTTACTTTCCCGAGATTCGATCGTCGGTATCTCAATACCTAGTTCAATGTCGTTACCGGCAAGTCTCTTTACTCTTTTGTAATACATCATCTTGCAACTAACTCATTAGTTGCAATGCTTGCAAGGCTTTAGGTGATGTGCATTACCGAGAGGGCCCAGAGATACCTCTCCGACAATCGGAGTGACAAATCCTAATCTCGAAATACGCCAACCCAACAAGTACCTTTGGAGACACCTGTAGAGCACCTTTATAATCACCCAGTTACGTTGTGACGTTTGGTAGCACACAAAGTGTTCCTCCGGCAAACGGGAGTTGCATAATCTCATAGTCATAGGAACATGTATAAGTCATGAAGAAAGCAATAGCAACATACTAAACGATCGGGTGCTAAGCTAATGGAATGGGTCATGTCAATCACATCATTCTCCTAATGATGTGATCCCGTTAATCAAATGACAACTCATGTCTATGGTTAGGAAACATAACCATCTTTGATCAACGAGATAGTCAAGTAGAGGCATACTAGTGATACTCTGTTTGTCTATGTATTCACACATGTATTATGTTTCCGGTTAATACAATTCTAGCATGAATAATAAACATTTATCATGAAATAAGGAAATAAATAATAACTTTATTATTGCCTCTAGGGCATATTTCCTTCATCTTGTCCACACGCTCACCAGCAAAATGGGTTTGCTGAACGCAAACACAGACACATACTTGAAGTTGGTCTAGCACTGTTGGCTGGTGCCTCCATGCCCCTTAAGTTTTGGGATGAGGCTTCCTTGCAGCTGTTCACATCATCAATATGCTACCTAGTCGTGTCATCAACTATGAAACTCCTATTGAGCATCTCCTCCACACTAAACCGGACTATACCACTCTCTGTGTGTTTGGTTGCGCTTGTTAGCCCAACCTTCGTCCTTACAATCCTCGCAAGCTCATGTTTTGCTCTAGACAATGTGTTTTCCTTGGTTATAGCGCTTAACACAAAGGTGTCAAGTGCCTTGATGTTTCTACTGGTCGCATCTACATCTCTCAAGACGTTGTTTTTGATGAGACTAAGTTTCCCTTTTCCGATCTTCATCCCAATGCCGGAGCTCTCCTTCGCAAAGAGATTCTTCTCTTGCCCTCTAGCCTTACCGGAATCACCCAAGGGGAAAATAATTGTAGTGACTCAATGTTGACTAATGATCATAACCACGTCTCTGAGTTGTGTGATGATGCAGATGATGATAACTATAAAGAAACAGGTGCAGAAATCAGCAAAAATGATGCAGAAAGCGCTCCCAACACGACACATTTTATGTGTCCAGAATTGGAGAGTGGATCCTCCTCGAGATCCATTCCCCTACAGACCGACAACGGATCATTCTCGGGATCTGGTCCGCACCAGGACGGCAGTGCGTAGGATCCCGTGTCGCCTGCCCGTCGCGGCTCCACATCCGCCATGCGGCGCCCCGCCCCTGGCCCGGATGCTCCCTCCGGCCTGCACCACTCGGACGCCCCCACGCAGCGCACCGAGACCCGCTGGGCCGTTGCTGGGACCCTCCACTACGAGCGCCGCCCGCCGACCGGGGCGCAGCCCCGTCTGGCGCCAGGCGCGGGCTCCAATACCGATCCGGCCCTGCGTCCTGCCGCTTGATCCGGCGCGGATTCGGCTGGGCCCACCTCATCATCGCGGCATGATGGGCCTGCGCTGGGTTTGTCCCGCAGCCTCGGATCTTCTGCGACGCGTTCTGCCTCGACCCTAATGCCTCACGCTCCAGATGCCGCAGACGATCCGTCTGGCTCGGATGCAGACGAGGCGATACTTTTCTGTGGTGCTTTTAGCATCTTTTTGTATGGTTTCTTGACAACTGTCGTCTTTCAGATGTAGATAACCTATGGCGACTGCCATTGCAGATGGCATGAATTATCTCTAGAGACCGAATCACTGCATTTAGTTTAAGTGGAATACAAGAATAACATGACCACATTCCGTCCCAAAATTTGAGCTGAATACAAGAATAATAATACAATATTTTTTCATGATAAGCGAACAATTCTATATGAGTAGCCAAACAGTGTCAACTACAGATAGATAACAAAATGTTACAAGGACCAGAAGACAAATATCTGAGGTCACACAATGTCAAGGAGATCATAGTTGAAAGATTTTCCCAGCCGAAACCTAAGCCTCAAGACAGGCCATTCGCCCAGTAGCTTCGTCAGAATGGGCAACAAAGCTACAGTAATGCAAATTGCAATGGCCAACCAGTGGAGATGTGGGGCCAACACCGTATATAAACCAGTTGAAAAGGTTGTGGTAGTTGCCACATATGCAAACCACATGAGCTTCTTAGTAAAGGATCTATAGTAACTCGTAATCCTCCCACCTTGCCATGATGCATATGAAGGCGGCAGCAAATGAAGAGCACATCGCTAAGGTATCAGAGATCAAGAATGCCTGAAATGCAACCTTGCGAGCCATGACGGGAAGTCCCTCGCTTCCAGCACCATTGTTGTATCCTCCAGGTAGGGTGAAAGCAGCAGCAAAGGCAATCTCTTCTGTCAAATGGCAAATAGTAAATGAACTCTCCAGGTTACCCTTCTTCCTATCACTCGTTCTGTCTTCATACATCTCCCACTCTGGGTCAACCCATTCAACTATCTAAGTGATTTCCAATTGACACAGGACAAATTATTGTAAGCATCAATTCCATCAAAACTACAATTAATAATGACATAAAGAACAACAGAATAACTGCAGTAAACAATGACATGTGCACTACACTAACCCTAAATAAACTAAAGAACAACCGAGTATGTGCACTGCAAACCAACCTCCTAGACAAATTATTTAAGCAATGAACTTTACAAAAAGTACAGCAGCTACAAAGCACACTAAACTTTAAGCAACTGATACTAAACAATAACTCAACATTGAGCATCTGACACTAAAAAATAACTGAACTTTGAGCATGTGACACAATCACTAAGCTGTCCAATTAAAGAATGAACACCTGACACTAAACACTTACTGAATTTTGAGCATCTGACACTAAACAATCACTAAGCTCCCCAATTAAACAATGATCATCTGCACTGCAAACTAAGCTCTTGGCCAATTATAAAATTAACATCTTCTGGCCAACTTAAATATACAAGAAGTGCATCAGCAATTGCCTACTCCGATGATGAGCATCAGTACTACTAAATGGCTTAATAATGATCATCAGTACTACTAAGAAATGGCTAAACTAAAGAACATGAGCATGTGCACTGCATCTGCGCTGGACTTCTCTACACACCATCTGAACAGGAGCATGTATACTATCAATTTTAATACAACTAAAGAAATTGTGCAGAATCTTACTTTCTAAGCACAAACTAAGAACCTCCTGCCCATGTCAAATGCCTCAAAGGCAATACGCCTCTCAGCTGGCAGACGATGGTGCTCGCAAGGAACAATGGGTCCTGCCTCAATGCCCATGTACTCTTCACCTTCAATGCTAGCAGGGATCTATAGGTGCAAAATGAACAAAAATCCCCAAATCAAAGATCGAATCCCCTCAATCCCCAAAGCAGAAAACATAACCCTAACCCTACATCCACCACTCACCAGGTACTTCATGCCGTTGTTGGAGGAGTTGATGTACAACAGGCTAGAGTAGTCGTTGCTACTCTCGTCCTCATACACCATGGCGGGGTGGCGGTGATGGTGGACTGTGCGGCGGCCGATAGCGAATCAGAGAGAGGAGGGCGAGGCTGGATTCAAGGCCGAGAGTGAGGTGGGCGGCTTGGTTCGACCCAGCCCAGCCATTTACACTGACCGAGCCGGCCTCGTCCTAGTCAGCGAAGCGGCACGCGCTGGTTGGCCAGTGTGTCACCTGACAGGTGGGGCCGTGCGATCAAATACAATGTCAATACGAGATTATACCATGCTGAGACCATTTTGCAACAATTAGGCGCATAGATGTTACTGACATGAAAAAAGGTGACTAGTGATACCCGTTACAACGATGTGGTACTTTCTTTCCGTGCAATTAACTCGAGCCATGGAAATGAGATCCGACGGTGCACAGAAAGGCCTGTGCTATGCTGCTGCGTCCGTCTCTGCTACACTTGTCTCTCTGTCCGTCGGAATGGCAATCGGAACGGCAGCAGCGGCGGCGGTGCGGCGCAGCCTCGGCGCCGCAGTCCCGGACCTCGCCGTCGCCCACCTCTGCTGCCCCTCGACCCCCGTCACCTACAACGCAGCCCACCTCCCGCCCACGCCGGCCACCCTCCTCGCCCTCCTCCGCCGCGCGCCCGCGCCCGCGCCGCACCCCACCACCGCCGTGCACGCCTGCCTCCTCAAGACGGCCTACTTCCGCCCGGGGGGCTGCACCGTCCCCAACTCGCTGCTCGCCTCCTACGCAACATCCGGCGACTCCCTTGCCGCGGCGAAGCTGTTCGACGAAATGCCTCTTAGGGACGTCGCGTCCTGGACCTCCATGATGCGGGCACACCTCGCGGGGGGCTCGGCGTCCCAGGCCCTGTGCATGTTCAGGGACATGCTCGCTGGCGGCAACGACGCACCGGAGCCGGACGGGGTCGTCCTCGTCGTCGCGCTCCGCGCCTGCGCCGAGCTCGAGGACCTGGCGCTCGGGGCCTCCCTGCACGCCCTCATGGAGCGCCGTGGGCTGCAGGGCTGCGATGTCTTCGTCGCCAACTCGCTCGTCGACATGTACGCCAGGTGCCTGGACCTGCAGTCCGCCAAGAAGGTGTTCGACATGACCCCGAGCAGGAACGTGGTGTCCTGGAACACCATGCTCTCCGGACTCGCGCGCACCGGCCGTGCCACCGACGCGCTAGACCTTCTTGCCTCCTCCTCGTCCTTGCTGAAAGAGGGCAGCGACATCGGCTTCGATGAGACGACGTTGGTGGTGCTGCTTCAGCTGTGCAAGAGGCTCGAGGGCGGCCAGGCCATGTGGTGCCGGTCTGTCCATGCCGCGGCCGTGAGGAGGGGGCTCCTATTGTCCTCGACAGGCCTGCCTCTGTTGAACGCCCTGCTGGACGCATACGCCAAGTGCGGCCTGCTTGAGCACACGGTCAGGCTGTTCCGCGGCATGCCTGAGAGGAACATCGTCACGTGGAGCACCGTCATCGCTGGATGTGTCCACAACGGCCGGCCTGGCGAGGCGATCGCGTGCGCCGTCGTGATGAGGGAGGCCGGGGAGACGCCCAACTCGGTCACCATACTGAGCGTCCTCGAGGCATGCACAGACTGTGCGGAGATGGCAGCGTCGAGATGCGCCCACGGCATGGCGCTCAGGAGTGGGCTAGCCTTGGAGCGGGACGTCAGCAACGCTCTGGTGGACATGTATGGTAAATGCGGCAACCTGGCTGCGGCGACGAGGGTGTTCAATGCGATGCCGCGGAGGGACGTGCTCACCTGGAACTCCATGATTGGTGCTCTGGGGATGAATGGCCGCGCACGTGATGCCCTCGCCCTCCTCGACAGGATGGAGCAGGAATGGGACATCATGCCGAACGGTGTCACGATGCTGGCCGTGCTGTCGGCATGCGCGCACGGAGGTCTGGTAGAGGAGGGCGTGGCCTGCTTCGAGAGGATGACGGCGACACACTCGGTTGAGCCACAGGTGGAGCACCTATCGTGCGTCGTCGACATGCTCGCGCGTGCAGGGGACCTTGAGGGGGCCGCTAGGGTCATCGAGGAGAGGATATCCACCAGCAGCAGTCCAGCAGCCTGGAGTGCGCTGCTAAGCGCCTGCAGAGGCTACAGCAGCGACTCGAGTGTTGGACGTGATGCTGCCTGCCGCGTCCTGGAGTTGGAGCCGGGCAATGCGGCGGGGTACCTGATGTCGATGGGCGTGCCCGGCGCTGGCGAGACGGCAGCGCGGATGCGACAGCTGATGAGGGAGAGGGGAGTAGGGGTGACTGGCGGACACAGCATAGTGCAGGTGGGGTGCAATGCTCACAGCTTCATGTCATGGGATGGATGCCACCCTGACAGAGGGCGGGTTTACTCCATGCTACATCTCCTGCATCAACAGATGCTGCCGCCTACTCCTCCACATCCAAACCACCATCATCTTACCTTATTATCACACAAGTGTCATGATTAAGGTACATACGAAGTCCTCACCATCATCTATGTTTATCAACCTGGTTATCTATAATATACTGTATATGCTAGTAATTAGGCTGAATTCTGTAGTGCATTTTGAGTGCGTGCTTTGGATTTGTTCAGTGCAATTCTCAGTATGGTTCTTTCATGACCTGTAGATGATTGATATGGGTGGGTACGCATATGGAAGGAAATGCAGGATTGCATTTCATTTCTTCTGTGGTAATACTGGAGACGCCAAAGGTCAAAACAAGATGACATTTTTTGAAACCGATGATGCTGTGTTTACATCGTTCGCCATTGCCATCCGCAGGTTCGCCACCGGCTCCATGAGATACTGCGGAATGGGTTGGAAGGCGGAGTGATCTCCGTCTTGCCCTCGAGCATCTTCAGTTCTTGACCACCACGCTCATTGACGGCCTCGGCTGCACGCACTAGAACACCACCTTGCACATCCTCTCCACCAGCCCTCTGCAACGCGATTCATGGCGGACTGTTGCCACCATGAGTTCCATCAGCTCGCCAGCTTCGTACCTGGTCCATGCGACCATGAGGAACCATTGCTGGCTGCTCTTCGGCGTGGCATCGACATCTTGGTTACTACCATGCTTGACGATCTTCAGGAGGAGCATGCCGAAGCTGTAGACATCACACTTCTCGGTGATCCAAACCTCCAGTGCGGTGTGCCCAAAAGTGCTGCGTCCGCGGGACAGAGACGTGCGTGTCACAACGGTTGACGAGGCTTGCGAGGCCAAAGTCGGCCACCTTGGGGCTTGGGCCTGAGGGTGCCGTCGAGGAGGTATCTTGCTGTTGCTAACTTGAATGGATTTGTCATTTTTGAATAGCCTAACTTGTTCTTCCAAGGATGGATGAGTAATAGAAATATCGCGAGTGTCATTACCGGTGGCAATCAGTTGGTCTGCGTTTTTGGTAAGAGAATAGCAGTGTTGTTCCTGTCATCTTCTGGTTTACTGTATGCTACCTATTGCATTATATTAGATTATGGTTAGACTTTTAAACATCAGTATGATTTTTGGTCTCATAGAGATTTTCTGTTCAAAACTTTTCAGCTTATGTGATAGATGTGCAATAAATGAATTGGTGTGATTCATTATTGTTCGTCTAATGTTGCACACCGTGAACTGTAGATTTTTTGGTATTTTTTCCTGGAGGCTGGTATGTTATCAAGTTGTTTGTGCTACCAGCTGGATGAGTCCCTCTTTAATGATGTCCACTTGTTACACAGCTTGTTTCTTTTTGTGCCCTGATCTAATTTTATGAATAGGAACAATGTTATATTAGCACTTCGGTTTCAGAGGCGTCTGTGATATCCATAATCCATTTGAGTGGTTTTCGTCAGTAACTTGATTGGTCTTGTATAATCATTGCATGCTGGTTCATTTCCTAATATGTTCCCTTTTCCTGGCTGGGCCTGTAAGCATTCTTTTATTCTACTGGTTGGAGTATGTGTATAGCTGACCTGTGGGCATTCTTTTATTTTTTGTGTCGTCTAGGTTTTGTGTTTAAAACTTTTCAGCTTATGTGATAGCTGTGCACTCGATGAATTGCTGTTCGTTTGATTTTATTACAGAGGGGGTGCTGGTGGATACAAAAATGCTTCTCCTGGGTCCTGGCAACTACGGTGGCGATAGCCTGAATCAAGGGGGTGGAGCACCTGCTAAGTGATCTCAACCTTGATGGTGCTTGCAAGGAGGATGCTCTTTGCAAGGAGGTTTGATGCGAGCACGAAGAGAAGCGATGGTCACGATGGCTTTCTTGGGGACGACTTCCAGGATGAAGATGACCATGTCAGTCCCGTTAGAAGAAGCAGCACCGGCCGAATAACTCTTATGGATTTGTTCTCCATGACCACATTGATTTGCATCAGCTGCTTGTTATATACTACTACTACTTGCTCTGTAAATAGATGTACTACGAATAAGGGGGTTCGATCGAGGGAGAACACAATGCCAAAAGGTCAGCAGGGTTTACCCAAATTGGTCGTTCATTAACTCATACTGGAGTATAATTTTTCATTGCACATGGACTAGTAGGTGGAAAAGACAGTGTACACCAGCACGTTGTTTCATCTCAACAACACTGATCAAGCTTTATGCAATACTTCTTCCGTGCCGAGTTACTTGTTTTAGATTTATCTAGATACACATGTATCTAGCCACAAGTAATTTGGAACGGAAAGTAATAGTGGCGAGCAAGGCACGGCACGCCTGTGTGTAAGCATGCATCCCTCTATGCGTGTAGCTCCATTGCTGATGCAGGCGGGCAATAAGGATCACAAGTTGGGCAATTTGCTTGGCATTCGCCTATACTACGCCAACACGGGCTGCCCGGCAGCGTGGCACAGCAGTGACAGATTTTAATAACGAACCAACTATGACCGCAGTGCCTCTTGACACACCATTTGAGGGTGAGCTTGCTTTCATTCGACGACGGATCCACAGCGCTGGCGTTCGCGGTTATGTTGCCACCATGTTCTTGGTTGCTTCTTGCAGCCACAAGACCACCTACATATATATCATCACACACAATATAAATATATGTAGTGTTTGTTAGATCACAACACATAAATTTAACTTAAGACAAACCTAGTATACGGAGTAACAAGAAACGGAGAGGTACAACTGGAGGCATCGGTTTATGCAAGACTGATAAATTTGCTGCGAGAATGTATGCGATAAGACGGTCGGTGTTATGCTTACACTGCCCGACCGCGACAAGGCACCCGATGAACAAGAGAGGGACCATGCACACGCCCCCTCTCATGTTTGGTCTTCAGCTTCTGGGAACCGAATGAAGTATGAGAAGTGAGAGGCAGCGGCCATGGATCCCTCTGGCCGCAGTATATATATGGAGGGTAGTATAATTTCAATGAAAGGATTCCATGCATGCATGACGATTTGGTGATAGCGCATTATAGCTGGCCATCACCGAATAATAGTACGCAGTACCTGCAGATTATGAATGTGTAATTTGTTACCATGCGTTTCCGCAGCCAAACGAAAAAAAAAGATTTGTTACCATGCATACATCCGGTTACTATCAGCAGGATTTGATGTACCAGGTGCTAGATGATTAGTGACTATATATGAATTAACCGACGAGATTACTTACCATCCGAAAATAAGTGTATAAGAGAGTAAAATATAAGCATTCAACAGGACGATGGAAAAACATCATAAAATCAAGAGTGTAAGATTTTCTTTTAAAAATTCAGTAACTTTATTTCTCTTAATCAAAAGACAGTTACATCATCCACCAGCCACCTTACAATGGATGCCAGCAGTTTCTCTAACCGAGTTGAGGAATAAGGATGGCATTGAACCCGCTAGGCTGGCTAATTCATGAGAGACAACATTCACCTCCCTTGGGCAACGGACGAAAAGAAAAACGAACGATAACCAAGAGAAAGGACATTACAATTGTGTGGATAGCTGCTATGTACAGTTGATGCCATGAAGCCACCTCCTTGCATTGTGTTAATCACCTTGTTTGCGCGAAAAAGGAAAGATGCACTCATACAAAAAGAAAAAGGTTTCATATAAACGTCTTCCTTGCATCAGGGTGCAAAACGTTGTGGGCGTGCCAGTGTACATATTACACAAATACACGAAGAAAAAGAAGAAAGAGTGGAGCCTACTAGCGCGGCCAAAATGATCAAACAATCGTGGTCTCCTGGTTCCCGGGGGCCTAGAAAAGCCCCTGGGTTAATTACTCCCACAGATAGAACCGCGGGACACCTCCGAGCACGCTGCGCAATCGTCGTCTACGGTCTTCGCTCGTGTTCCTCATGCATGGTGGTGGTGTGTGTGGCGGCGGCAGAGTCCGTGTGTGTCGGACGCCATCCATGGCACCTGCTCCGAGGCCATCCTCGCGTCCTGCTCTGCCTGCATATTTCCCGCATGCTCCGTTGCTGCCGCAGCCTCCCTCGCTGCTCGTAGTTCCTACGCTCGTTGATCTCCTTTATCTTTTCCGCAAATCACTTCTTTGCATGCTCATCCAAGAGGTTTCGTCCGCCAACATATGATCTTCACACCCTCCGCTTTCCATGCGAGATGCAACCTCTCCTTCTCAAGCTCGATCTCTCCGAGTGTCTTCACCTTCTCGATCTCCCATTTGATCGCCGCCTCTTGCTTCTCCAACTCGATTTTCCCCTCTCAATTTCGAGGCGTACGCAGTCTACGTCGTGGCGGTCGGGGACGGGTTGGACGACATGTAGGGCGGCGGATCCGGACAGGTGGTGAGGATGGGGAGCAAGGGTGGCGGAGGGCCAGCGCTTGGGCAAGGGAAAGATAGGAGGGAGGCGGGAGGAGGAGGAAGGGTTTGATGGATTTAATGCAATTTGCGGTGGGGTAGGGCTGTCGGGTCCGACGTGGCGGACGTGCCTAGGCGCCTTCATATCCGCCTCAAATTTGGGCTAGACATAAAGGGTGCCGATCAGCCCAGGCGTTTGAGGCCTATTTAAGAAGCCCGCGTGAGTTCAATTTTTATGATCCGGCCGTCCGCCCGAGCATTTGAGACAGGTTTGGGGCGCCCGGCTGTGTAGATGCTCTTACAACCACGAAAGGAACCACAACAACAAAAACTCCACGTGTGGGAGTGAGTGGAATTAAACAATATCATCAGAAGCAAAAACCTCTGAAATGCATGCACATATGTATACCGTTTTACTAATAACCATATTATGTACTCCCTCTGTCCCAAAATAACTGTATCAAGCTTAATATAATTTTATACCGGAGTTAGTATAAAGTTGAGATACTTATTTTGAAACAGAGGGGATAGTATTTATAAAGATCTGTCTTGCGCAATGGCCATGCACTCAAATATGAACTACCGCTAGGGTTTGGAGGTGAAGGCCGCGTTGGCTGTGAAGATGAACGCGGCAGCAGATAGATGTGTGCGAGTGCGACGTCATGCATGGAGGTGGGTGGTTCCCGGTGGCCGACATTATGCTGCCATTAGTGACGGCCACGGAAT